TGTTGATGAATATGGTGATGAAGTTATATTATGTTTATTGTGAAATTTTGGTTTCAATGCTGCATTGTATATTGAATACATTTTTAATTTCAAATTGTTGTTCAAATTTCTAGCCAGGGGAAATAGCTGTTGTTAAAAACAGTTCCTAAATTGATGAAATACAATAGATAGATACAAAAAATATGTCTAGGTTGGTTAAGACTTGGTCGAGTATGGTTCAGACTAGGTCGAGTATGGTTCAGACTAGGTCGAGCATGGTTCAGACTAGGTCGAGCATGGTTCAGACGCGTATATAAAGGTTAAGTACTGGTCGAGTAAGGGTCGAGTACAAGTTCAGACTGTTAGGTATGGTTCAGCCTACAGTCGAGTATTATCAAGTAAATTTCAGACCAATTCAGACTGGTCGACTAAAAATCAGTACAGTCGAGTACAGATATAGGCCATTTCAGACTTTTACTGGTTTGTAGTGTTACTTCCGCTACATTCGAAACCACGTTTTCTGTGTCTGCTAGATAGTTTTCGTTATTTTGCCTTATTGATCTACATCAGACACGAACATATTGCTTCAGGTATTCTGATTCACAGACACTCCAATCATCAATCATACTATTCGGTCAACATTTGATTTAAACTTTTCTTACACCAGGCACCCTAAAAGACGTTGAAACATTCTGATGCTTTATGATCTAGAAATTTACTGTTGATTGATGTTCAATCATCTTGCTCCAGTTTTTATACTCTTCCAAATTGTTTTTTTTTTACTTTTGTCACTTGACAATATTAAGCACTTTTGGTAAATTGTAATAACGTCCTTTTTCTCGGATGTAAATTTTCTGCGTTTTGGTCAATTTGGCACACGCGAATACCATGTATGGCAAATGTTTGTCTTAGGTCACATGTACAAGCTGCGATTGAGATTTATTTGTTTGAGATCTAACTAAGTGTATACTGCAAATTCAGAAATAATTGCGAGATTTTTGTTAATGCGAATAATGCGACTGGATGAGTATCTAAATAATAACTGAAACATAGATCTGTATGCAAAGTTTTTCGAAATCGCAATAATAAAACTTGCATTTTTGTCCATTTTTGAAAAATGGCAATAACAGATGCACGCAATAATTTCTGAATTTACAGTATTTGATTGTCTTTGGTAGGAATATATTCTAATTTGAGATATATTCAATTGTGAATTGAGATTGAAGATACATATTACACAAAGACACTGTGACACTAGGGGATACATTAATATCAAAAGAAGAAAAATGGGATGATCACACTTTAACGGAATCCAAAAGAAATTACAGAACTGTCATAGCAGCAATTATATCAAACTTTCTTAAAGGAGAGGAATGGACATTTGCAAAGAAAAACACAACTTCAAAATACTGATGGATTCAGTATAGGATTATGCCAAGAAATGGGTTGAATGGGAGAAAGAAGACGTATAAACTCTTTCCGAATGAATCAGGCTGTGAGGTCGTTGATACAAATCAGAATTAAAAAACTAAATGGGTCTATGAATACATATGCTACATCTATACTTTAAAGACCCAAATGATGCAAAACATATTTGCTACCTCCATGACAAATATGGTGTTGTCTCCGCAGATAAAGCCACAAACCACATCGTTGTTGTGTGTTAATCACATTACAAACTGTTTGATAAATGAATCAGGTATTTACAATTCACTTGGAAACTAAACATTGTGTCATAGATCAAATTCGTTTGTTCAGTTTATGTTCACTTGTTTTTGTTAATATGTCTTTTGATTGAGTTAACTTGCCATTTCAATTGATATCTTATAGTGTGTCTTTCTATGTTGTGATGTTACACTATTGTTTCAGGTAGGGTCAAGGGGCGCCAATTAAAACGTTTAAACCCGCTGCATTTGTTTGCACCTGTCCTAAGTCAGGAACCTGATGTTCAGTGGTTGTCGTTTGTTGGTGTGGTTCATAAGTGTTTCTCATTTCTCTTTTTTTTATATGGATTAGACCGTTGGTTTTCCTGTTTGAATGGTTTTACACTAAACATTTGTGGAGCCCTTTATAGCTTGCTGTTTGGTATGAGCCAAGGCTCCGTGTTGGAGGCCGTACTTTGACCTATAATGGTTTACTTTTACAAATTGTGACTAGGATGGAGAGTTGTCTCATTGGCACTCATACCACATCTTCTTATATCTATATACCCCACGACACTTACTAAGGGGGACATCCTGGAGAACCATAGGTCTGTTCTTTGTTCCTTTGGAATTTCAACCAAAGATAAAGAACTGGACCTTCCTTTACTGTATTAGATACCTAAATTACAAACGTTATATTGCTGGGTCTTCCAAGAGCTCCACGAAAACTCTTTCTAAATTATCGACATTAATTTCATCAGCAATCAAAGCCGGGCTTCAAAATTAATGTGAAACTACCTATTCTAGAGGTGGCGTAAATCAGATGTGGATACTAAAAAATTCCAAAGATCTGTTAGAGTACATATAATCTAAGACTCTTTCATTTTGCAATAGTGTTAAAACATTTGACTTTCTACCCTTTACAAAAGTATTCCCCTTTCCAAACTAAAACACAAATCGAAAGAGTTGGTCCTGCTTTGTTTCATTGAAATGAGACAAAATTAATCTGAAGAGTCTTCAAACTGGTAAAGGTTGAGACTATCGGCCTAAACAACGACTTGAATGATGAGGAGAAACTTTGCCAGATAAAAAATAACATTTGGTGGAAAAAGACAAAACGAGTGGGTAAAACTCAATATATATACAGATTATTTGAAGAAGGTAGCCTAGATACAAGGAAACTAGCTCTAATCCTAGAGTTGTTGTTTGAGGAGTCTAATGAGTTACAGCAGAACAAACCACACGAACACGAGGTAATGGGTATTGCAGAGCCGATCAAAGGGATTGAACAGAATATTGTCATTGATCAGGTGACAGCAGCTACCATTACAGTGCCAGTTATCATTAAAAATATTGTGACTAATGCAGTCATTGAAACAGGAGCGGAGGTGACAGTTCTAAGTAATCAGCTGATTACTGAGGATAAAGGAAGAACAACAAGACATTTGGAGGTTGCTGAGGTCGGAAAATAACAAGACAACTATAATAACTAGACAAATTACTGTGGTGGATGTTGAGCTAGTAAGTGAACCTTTTAAAATGATTATTTATTAGGCTGCGACCAAGTAGATGAAATGGACATCACAATCAATCCTATGCAAGGCCTAAAATTTTAAAACTTGTGGATTTAATGTGAGACTAAGAGTTACACTGATGAAGAAGCCAGAGCTGGGGTATATCATTGACGAAGAAGTGGATTGTTAAAATACAATTTTACCTGATAAGAAGGAAGCTGAAAATATGTTCTTTCAGGAGGAAGACATAAATCCGTTAAAAGAAACTTTTTCCATGAATAGTTCACTTAGACCAAACCAAGAAAGAACTTGAAATTGAAAAGAAAAGAAAACTCAAGTCACACAGAAAGATTGGAGAAAATATAGAAAAGGAGATAAAAAAAAGACATTGTGTCAAGAACCATGAATCTGTAGTGTGCTTGTTCCAAAAATAAAAGACTTAACAAATTTTATAGACAGACACAGAGCTCTAATTTGTTGACATCATTTATATGTTTATTGTTTTTATATTCGATTGATACAATTTTAGCATGATACAAATTATTATTTACATCTATACACATGACTGATCTTGATTTTAGCGACCTATTTTTACACGCATGGTTATTGTGCTTCGTGTGTATAAAAAGGGAATTTTTCATCGTACGTGTTCGTTCATTCTTTGAAATTATCAGCTGATGTAGGTCAAGTTTCTTTCACACACGCAAACATATTACAGAAACCTTTAAACATATGTTTTGTGTCTGTTATTTGTTGAATTGTTTTTAAATCATATAATTATTATTTCCTGAAGCTGTTTATTTCTTTATTGTGTGAAACAAACTTTGCAAAGCTATTTTGCATAGTAAAAATAAATTGCGAATTGAAATCTTAAAACGATTGTTGAAATATAGTTCGAGAACAATTTTTACATACATTTTACAATATGCCCTATTTTGTCTCTTGCTGAGTGACACAACAAAACTCTATTCTGAGGTCCGTTTCATCATAAACCACGTGTTCTACTGTCTGGTATTTATTTCATTGTTATATTGCGTGATTGATATCAAACAACGAATTGTTTTAGATATTTCTGTCACAAACACTCTCACTCAAAAACACATTTCATACCACATCGGCACGGCGGTATCTGGACTTTGTACATATCTCAAAAACGTCGTCCTTGATTGATTCTGTTCCACATAAATGGAACGTTGTCATTTGTGAAAAAAAATTAAAATGGAACATTGGGGTAAAATGCAAGTTTTGTCTGATTACAGGAAAAACGTTTCTTTTGATCATACATTTATTCATTGTCTTCCTTTGAACATTCTATTATTTTATATTCTTATGTTGAACTTCTATGTACCTAGCAAATAGACAGAAGTATAATTATATTATTTGTATGTACTAACAAATACTAACAGCTATATGTTTACATGTTGTATTACTAATATTAAACGAGGCCGGCGTTAGGTACCGGTATTCAATGTAATAGTGCTAACAAATGTACAGATTTCAATAACAATACAAATATTTACTCTTATGTTGAAACGAGAATAATAGATTGCTCGGTTTAAAAAAAAAAATAATCATAATAAAAAAAATAATAATAAATATAATGATAATAATAAGAATAATAATAAAAGAATACTAATAAAAATAATAATTATAGTAAAAGTAAATGAATAATAACTGTAATTTGAAAAAAAATGACACCGGAATAAAAATGTACAATATATCAATTGATTGTCCTCATCTCATTTTCAAAAAATCAATTAGAACAGTTTTAGTTCGTGAATAATGATAATGAATCATAGATAGGAAATGTATTCTAGTTACAATATATAAACGCTTTATAACAATACTTCCTGAATGTGTTGCGAATACATTGTAGCTTGCTACACGTTAGCAGATACAAACAGGATATTCCAGAGCGAATTATAAATCTTTCAATGATTTAATCAGTATAAAGATGCGCTGATATGTTTAATAAAATATTTGCTTGCGTTTTATTTGTTGTTCATCTTTTTAAGAAAGGTAAGCTCATTCTTAAATATGTTATTTGATAATTGGAAGAAAGGCAAATAGAACTAAACGAACAAATGATAAAGATACTTGTATATTATTGAATTGAAGTTTATATTTCTGTTTAATTCTGTTTGTTTCGGGTTCCTGTGAAGTTGACGTAAACAGTTAATGTATTGTTATTTTTCATGTTTTGTAAGGAATTTGAATGCTTGCTTGTTCCCCTTGAAAGTTTTCTATTTAAAAAAACCCACAAAAAAACAATAAAAAGGGGGAAAAAATAAAAAAAAAAAACACGCTTAAAAATCAATATTGTACGTGATTTTAATATTTTTTGTAGTTGACAAAAAAACTTTGATAGATAGATAATCAGCGGGTAAAATAGAAGGTCGAAATGTGATTAATTTTTCAACTGTTAATTAGAAATCATTGTAACAAACTTTTAATATCATTTCTAGAGGAAATGTTCGATTATATGTGGAACTTGTTCAATTAATTTAAGAAATCTCCATTAGGCTTATAATTTTGTCTACAAAAGATGCACCAGTGACGCTCAATTCTAAACTTTAAAAGGCCGAAAAAAAGTACGAAGTTGAAAAGCATTGAGGACCCAAAATTCAAAAAGGTTATGCCAAATACAGCTTAGGTAATCCATTCCTAGGGTAGAAAATCCGTAGTATTTAGAACAATTCAAAATTTTGTAAACAGTTAATGTATAAATATGACCATAAAAACGATAATTCATGTCAACACAAAAGTTCTAACTACTGGGCTGGTGAGAGCCTTGGGGAGGAAACCTCCACCAGCAGTTGCATCGACCCATGTGGTTGTAAATAAACTGATAAAAATATTTGATACTAGTAGTTGAATGCTTACAAAACTTTACTTGTTTTGAATTGATTTGAATTGAGTTTAAAAGTAAATCAAAGAACACAACTTGTAATTTTATTAAAATAATATTTTTTTTTCTGCAGCTTATAGTATAGAAAATGTGGTGGATGTATACGCAGTGGAAGGGGAAACTATAACTTTAAAATGCGAAAACAATGCCATTGATCATTGGGAAAATATAAACAACAGAGGTTTCATCATATATTGTAAGGAATTGAGAGACCATATTTCTCCCTCAGCACGACTTAAATTAACAGAAGAATGCAATTTGCAAATACAAATTCTCACTCATGACTACAGTGTCACTTACCGTTGCATTATTTCAGGGGAAGTTCCACTTTCTAAAGACTTTAACATCATTATACTTAGTAAGTATGAACTTATCATGTTCCCGAAATCGGTATCGTTCGTTTTTTTTACTGAGCTGGGGGTCTCTAAGTATTAGACGATAGATTTTTCTTAAACTTCTGTAAAAAACTTCTGTGTCAATATACTTTCTAATTTCAATATAAAAATTTGGGGTCACGGACCTTTTTTTTCTCTCGTTAAAATACATTGAAATTAACGAAATCACAGTTATTTTAAATGGGTTATATAAAGGAAACTTAGTTTTATCTTATTGATGAAACATTAAACGATAGAATTGGTTAAAATTCAATGAGAGAATTTCTGTTCATTAATACTTCTGAAATATCGAATAAAAATAGGGGGTCACGGGCCTTATTTTCTTGAAAAATCCAGAACAAAACTCCAATTGTCCTATCAGTCAGTATAATTATCTGCCTTTGATCTTAAAAGGATTTTTCAGAAAATTTTAAATACACTTTACAACACTGAATGTTTCTATAGTTTAATCTTAAAATTTCAAGTTTTAGAATGATTCTTGGTAAAATAGTTTTAAAACAAGAATAATTTTGCAACATGTCCAGAAGGGATAATCAGAGAATGACACCCGATCTACCTTAAATATAATATTGTTGTCTGTTTTGATTACAAACACTAAAATTACCAAAAATGTAAAGGTTCATAGTCATATAGTTATATAATATACGCATCAGTGCAGAAAAAATAAAATTATCTATGCTTAGAACGGTTTGCATATGATGTAGCAGTGCAAATAGTATGAAGAGTTTGCTGTACAAACAGAGCAGTTGTTAATGCGATAGAGAAAGAAAATGCCAGTCTCAAATTTGTATGTATTGCCAGTTTTCTATTCACAGATTATTGGCAGCATTTTTGTAGAAATATAAGAAAATAGATACACTCAAAAACACTCAAAGGGAGAATATCACTGTGAATGAAATGGTTAATGTTCTTCATGGTGTCATTGGAAAAAGTGCATTATGCTATACATCAGCTTTTTCATGTTTTGAAGAAAGAAAAAAATAATAGGATATTAACACGATAGGGTCCTTTAACCGCATCACGGATGAGCGGCTCACCATAAAATGACCAGAACAGAGTCATAGAGTTTTGGCTTGGACGGGTGATAAAGCTAGTTTATAGAAGAAGTCCTTTACACATCCAAAATGAAATATTATTGACAAAGATCGAAATATTATTGACAAAGATCGAAATATTGAAGGATGTCGTATAAATTAAGATACAATTTAATTTATATTCTAGAACCACCATCAAAGATGAAAGTTTTAGAAGCTAATATGACCGAAATAGTTTTAGGTATCGAAGGCCAACAATTGACACTGACATGTAATGTCAATAGCGGCAAGCCAGAGGAGACGATATTTTGGATTAAAAATGAAACAGTAGTATCATCAGGGGGACCAGGAAGTTTGCGGTACACATTTATTCCACAACAGGAAGATAACCTTCAGAACTATACGTGTAAGGCAAATAACAGCTTGAATAGTGTACCGTTAGAAGAAAGTGTGCAGTTAAGATTAACATGTGAGTTTGTTCCTAATATTCTTGAAATGGCACTTAATATACAAAGGGAGAAAAGATACCGAAGGTAAAACAAAAACCATACAAAATAGACACCACAATCCCCCCCCCCCCCCCCCCCCCCCAAAAAAAAGACAACCAAAAACAGCCATCAAACCACTAAACAAAATAAAACACTGACCAACACGAACCCCAACAAATCAAAGGATGAAAGAGGGTGCTCTTGAATAATAAGCAGGTCCTGCTCCACTACTTATATCTGCCGTTTATATAAAGTTCGTATATACTTTTACCAAGATAGCTGGGCAATAAAAGCTTTGTTATAACATACTAAGCGAAGATATCCTGTTTCAAGTATATTTAACTGGGTTGTAGTTTTTTATCCAAATTAGCAGGTTACATTGCATTTTGACCATTACTAAACGTAGAATTAGAATTTAATTTTTAAGTTTCATTTATAAAAATGGTTAATTCATCTTTAGCTATAGGAAATATACTCTCTTTTGGCCATAAAAGAATTACGAGTACTCTAAAAATCCTCAATTTTAATATGATAGCCTTATTGTTGGAAAGAATTCAAAAGCGAGGGACGATACCCATGCATAAATGATACTTTAATTTGGTTTGGTTTGGTTTGGTTTCGATTGTTTGGTTTTTATTTTCTTCTTGTTTTCTTTTTGCGGCATGTTTCAAATAAGATTATTGTTTTAAATTCAACATGATTGCGTGCTACAATTGAAAATGTTGAAGGTTTACTTTGCGTATTATAAATGATTTACAGTGATTCCTCGCATATCAGTTCATATGAAGGTAGTGTGTTTTCAAAAGAACATGACAGCTTCACTTCACTGTTCAGAAACATCAGGATGGCCAGTTAATAGTTACAATTGGATATATAATGAAGCTGAGATAATCGAAACATCAAATGAACTAATGCTTACATCTTTAAACAAGTCAGATGACGGTCGATACACATGTATAGCGAAAAATGATGCTGGTAGCGACAATGCCTCCCTGGTTGTACAACATGATAACTTATGTAAGAATGAAGCTTGAAGTGTAACTTGGGTAAACAAACGCATAAAAAAATATTTGATGGCTAACTACGTATACAAAATTGGACGATTTTTCGGATTATGAGGAAATTGTTATGCCTTTAGAACTCGTTGAACTGCATCTGTAAATCGACAAAATATACACATGTATTTGGCATTTAAAATTACATGTCCGAAGAAAAACCATCCGCAGACTATTAATTAGAAATATCATTTTGCTGCTGTAGACAATTTTGTTTTAACGCTTTGAAAATATTAATGGGTTCGTTTTTGCTGTTCAATTCATTAAGGTATACTATGATCATGAGCGATCTGTAAAAAAAAAACCTTGAAAAATAACTAGTTCAAAGCATCGAAGTTGCGATTATTTTGCCGTTTTGACCCCTTTTCACGCTACATATGTTTTTACATAAACGCCGAAATATTTACAGCAATAACATATGATTTGTAATCAAAATTATGTGGTCTGATTTTTCGAGAAAATGCAATTTAAGTGACATTATGTTTACATTGATACAATTATAGACCTTTTTCAAAAAGTATTGATTAATTGTTTTTTTTCTGAATCTATAAATGCTACATTTATCAACTATAGTTCTAAATGCATACAACATTTCATCAAAACTCGAAATATCTTCCAATTACTGTACTTTGCTTTAAAAAGATAAGTATACATACAGCAAAGTACTACGAATTCAGTTATTGAGACACAATATCTTATTGCGGAAAAAAGGGCAGACGACATACTTTAAATTCTAGTTCCGATGGATTATTCAGTATATATTATCTTGATTGATTCGACCATCGGTATGGTTATTTAGGACTATCGATAAATTATAGAGAGAAAACATTCTATGCATTAAAGGGGTACTAGCTGTCAAATTCATGATCCCCGAGTTGACTCAAATTCTCATATTTGATTTATAACAATGTTAAACATTTATCCAAACTATAAAAAGTCTAAAATAAACAATTTACAGGGCATGGGCTCAATTATATGTAGCTTCGTTTCGTGTGTATTTTAGTCTAGACGCCATCTAATTAAATATCGAGTTGACCTCGGACGACCTCCGATGACCATATAAGCGATATAAACATAAATATAGATATAAATAGATATCAAAATCGTGCAATTGGATTTTTCTAGGTCTGTTTAATTTCACTTTTTAGATTAAAAATATATGTTAATCATCGTTTTTACCTGTATACGAATGATTTTTTGTGGATCGAATCAGTCAATCAAATGATTTACCTTTGTTTCACTTTCAATGTTGACATTCTTTTCCTTTAAATAACTTTACACGGACAATTCATTCGTTATCCATCTCTAGCTAAGGGGTTAAATTGAAGTTCACATGAATACGGATTCAATGAGGTCGAATTATTCACTTGCAAGTGAATAATTCATCATCAATGTTTATTAGCTTATTTTGACAAAATTGAAGCAGACTGGCTGCTAAAAGCGAATTATTATTTCACTATTTCACTTTCATTAATGATTGAACGAAAAAAATCATATTTTAGATTTTTTATATATCTCGTAGCTAGTGCCTGCCCCTTAAAAGGGTAAAATTCAATGAGACATCAATTGACCACACCAACATATGTTTTAATTACCACTTTTTTTAGCTCGGTTCTAAATATGTATTATATTACATGCAGTTCTTTTATGTCATATTTGCATATAGTTATCATAATATCAACTCATAATAGATATCAGGATTAAAATTGTGTATCCTAGCTGCGCTGTTCGTCTACAAAAGACTCAACAGTGACACACGAATAAAAAAGTTTAAAAAGTCAAATAAAGTGCGAAGTTGAAAAGCATTGGAGACACAAAATTTTGAAAGGTTTTATTAAGTAAGCGAAGACCTTTAAAACAAAAAGAATAACTATCATTGACGTTATGATATTCCGAAAAACAATAGTTTGGAAGTGTTGTGAGATTTTCTGAACATATTACGGTAAAGACAATGAACATGTATATGTAACTTCCAAGAGACTTATTATAATTTTTTCACTTTTAAGGCATTTGTGAAATAAGTTTAACATAGATTTTGATATGTCCTTTCCATGTCGTCATCTGGTAAACAGTTAGCGCTGTGTTTACAAAAACAAGTGTATTCTATTTTCATTTTTTATCACAAATAGGTCGATATTTTGACATTTTGAATTTTTTCTTCAGATTAAAGTTCGACTAGCCAGACAAAGGGAGACAACTCTAATAACATTATAATCCCGGAATCTGTTAATCATGAGTAATTATTAATTACTGGAAATGCGAAATAGTCTGAATGATAAAAATTTGCAGTCTAGATAACAGTCATACACAATTATTAGATATTACTTATATAGATGTGATGTTATTTGCTGAAATCCTGTCAACTAAATTCCTTTTGTAAAATTATAGGTTATAATAAAAAGGAAAACAAGATTTTCTATGTAGAAGTCTGCTTATAACATTGATATGTGACTGTTTAATCATGAATAAATCGTTTTCCTTGTATTATTAATTCATTATAGGCCAACAGAGAAAACTTCCCACAATCCACTTATATTCTGACAAAACTAGCATTTATATAAGCTGGAAAAGAGGTAATATATCAATAGAAAAGCAGCTGTTTGAAATTGAATATCGACAACAGGATTCAAACAGATGGCGAATGCTTTCGACCAACAACAAAAAACAAATGGTACATTCATTCGAAATAAACGAGCTCATACCTTCAACTGAATATATTATTAGAATGTCAATGAATGGAAGTAGAGGATATATTGTGGCAGACGAATACAGAATTAAAACTAAAGGTAAGTTATGTAACTTTATTTGAATATCACAGAAGGCGGGAAACTAATATTAAGTATGCGACGGCGGAGTTAGCTCAGTGTATTAAGCTTTATATTTCAGTAAACAAACGAGTTGTATATTTCATATCTGGCATACAGAAACATTATGGTCGCTTTTTCCGTCTAGCCTAATTATGTCCCATGTCCTTGACCTCGTTTTACGATCAGTGATCAACATTATTTTAGGGGATAAATTCTGTTTAAAAGTACTATAGATAATAAGTCTATTTGTTGTATACAATGACTGTATGGTGAACAGGGGTCATTTTACCATTACCTTATTTCCATGGCTCTTATGTCAATGCAAAGTGGTTGTGATTAGTTAGTTTTTACAAAAACAAGGTCAACTATATTGGGTGTATAGAATGATTGTAAGGCATACATGTTCAAATGACTGAGTTCATTTCATCTTGACATCATTTTCATTGGCTATCGGTCGATGTAAAGTTATTATGTCATCCGATCGACATTGTCGGGTGACATATTGCTTTTCTTCTGTTTCTTTTTCCCTATTATTATTATTTTTCTTCCACCTTATTTTGTCCGGCAGTTATCTCCGAGCCAATGGAAACAATCTTCATAATTGTTGAGCATAATGAGGACCACCATCAGTAGAGTTGAAGTGAAACTTTGGAACTTTAAAATGGCCGCCGTTTCTATGGAAACAGCAAAAATGTGTTGAATAAATGTTTTGTTTTTGATGACTAATTTGAGAATGCCTGAACAAAAAATCATCAAATTTTGATACAACATAGGTATCCACTATATAAAGGTTTTGGATGATTTGGAGAATCATTGGAACTACTGTAATGCCATGGAAACTGGGGAAAGGTTTACCATTATAACCCTATAGGAAAAACCTTTAAGTAACATTTACTCGCTCAACATGGTAGGTCAAATCCCACGAAGCTTTAATGGTATGTTCCCTGTCATATGCCAAAGTTCTCCATCTCCCTGTCTGTAACTAAGGAAGCCGACATTTTGAATACCGGAATGTATTGACATGTAATTTCTTCAATAATAAGCAAAATCTCACATTTTGTACCAAGAAATCTTCTTTTTATCAAATTTTATTACATTCTGAAGAAGCCAGAAAACGCCCGGTGTTTACGTTTGATTCCGGAAGCATACTTATGACGTCACCTAGTTTAGGCGCCAAAGAAGATAACATCATTTACACTGAAATAATGACTAAAATTGCATGATTTGTTTGTTTTGCATTAGAATAGAGATAACTGTATTGTATTTGAAGCTTTGCTGACGTCCATCGGTAGTTTTACTGTCGCAAAAATCCGTTTACCTGTCTCCGCTACGCGTCGCCAGGTAAACTAAATTTACGACAGAAAAACTTCTGATGGATGTCTGCAAATCTTCAAATACCATACAGTTACCTCTAAAGTGGTAGGTGTTTTCAGAATTTTGGAAAATAGTCACCGTTACCATGGAAACGGCAAAAATGTCCAAAACTTTTAAAATGCTCCAAACTTAATGAAACTTAATAGAAATGATAACTAGCATATGTAGATGAGACTTTTGACTTTGGAATTTCCAAAGTGGCTGCTGTTGCCATGGAAACAGCAAAAATATTCCATATGTTCTGAAAATTTACAGAAAGATGTATAGCCATGCATATATGTGGATTCAATGTTTGAAATTTTGAAAATTGCTGCCGCTTAGTGGCAATGGGGGAAGGGTGACATCCGCTATTGCTTTCAATAGCAATATTAGTTTTTATTATAATTGCTTCTCAGATACTTAAGTAAAAGGTCATCAATTTTCGATGGAAAGAATGACTGTAAGTTGTAGATGTTTGATTACCATGGTTCAAGTTTTTTTTCTCTCATTAGAACCGTTTCTCACATTCTATTGGTAATATAAGAGCAAATAATGACTATAAGGTTACATGTCTGTCTAAAGGGGTTCATCGACATTGACCTCGTTTTCATGGCTTTGTGGTCAACGTTTCGTTTTCGTGATTAGGTTAGTTTCTCAGTTACTATTAGTAACAGGTCAACTATATAAGTGGAAACATGAGTGTGACATGTTTCATCCGACCTTGATCTCATTTTATGGATCATAATAATCTGTTACGCAGTCAAAATATTTCAACATGTTCACTCTTGTCAAATTTTAAGAGGTATCTACCGAATTTTGTATTATATTTGATGACTGATGTGTTCATTCAGATCACTGATTTTTTTCATGGTGAGTGTTAAGCATAAAAGACACAGGAGAGCAAGAATATATATTAATGATTTTTTGAATTGACGTAGACGCTTATCCTTCCGCCGCACCAGTCTTATTTTCGTTTGGCATTCATGTGATTGCATCAGGCTTTTGTTTTATTTTCCATCTTTAAAATTTCTGAATGGATTTATGAGATTTGAACATCAGTAAACTACTGTTGTCTTTTATTTAATACAAATTGTATTCCGCAAATCTATGAAAATCGTTTTGACTGTCAAGAGTTAAAGAATATGTAAAAAAGAAATAAAACAAGACTCTTTCATCGTTAAAATGGCATAGGATATTGTATTATATTTTCATTACAAATAGGTGACATTCTTATCATTTCAGGAATAGACACGGATGAATTTCCAACCAAATATATTGTACTTGCTGTAGCTTTTACAGCTGTGGTAGTTTTTGGAACAGCATTCCTGATCAAGCGACTAATCGGTTTGTACTTTCAATATTGTTTTCATTTTATTTAGTGTGCATATACATGTAACTATTCAATCAAAAGGCCTTTCAGTTTACATTGAATATTGTAAAAAAAGAGCCAGAATACCAAGGAGACAATCACAAACGATAATTCTAAAATCAAACCAATATCTTAATAATGGCAAATAATAAACAAACGATATAAGGAAGAATGAACAGTTTACATTATACTACATAATTTTTGGTGTTTATTTGTTGAAAAAAATATGTATTTGTGATCGAAGAAAGATTGCTTTTATCGGCTTTATAAAAATAAGAAGATGTGGTATAATTGCCAATGAAACTACTCTCCATCAGTGATCAAATGTCGTAGAAGTTAACAACTACCATAGGTCATCGCACGGCCTTCTACACATTGCAAACGCCGTACCGCATAGTAAGCAATATAAGGCACCGAAATGATTTATATATATATAAATGAAAATTATTTCAAACGAAAAACACTAACGGGCAGATTTATGTAGAAAACATTGAACGTAAACCAAATATGTTATTATGAATTAATCATAATGATATGCAAAAAAAAAAAATCTTGTTGTCGTCTAAAATTTATTAGAATAAATAATAATAGCTAGTTATGCTTATTAATTATTTTAGGAAATAGACAACAGGCAGACGATGAGTAATATGATATAGTATTAAAATAAAACTATAAATCTATGTTATAACTTTCGTCTGTTTGGTATTTGAATCTTTATTAATCACAGAAGTAACCTATTTCATTCACTATAATTCAGTTTTTCCTCATCGATCACGTGTTTTGTTCTTTTACCAGCATCGTATTATATTTCATACTATAAATCATTGTTTTCAAGTGTTTAGTATTGATAAACATAGAAGCAATCTTTTATCATTAATCTGTATATGTAGTTTTAAAATTGAAAAACGTCTGCAAATGCATGATATAATCCTTCTAAAACGTAAACCCTTTACATTTATCCTATATTAACATCATTTGTATCGTTTCCGTTATAATGAATACTCTGTTCCAGAATCTCTGTGAATCAAATAACCGGGTCCAGCTTAAAGCAACCTTAATTTTTTCAGAAGTCTATTCACGCATTTTAGTCGTTTAAAATTCCGCACACAATCAAGTACAGGCAAAATCATGTATGTAAAAGAGAGGCGAAAAATACCAAAGGGATATTCAAACTCATTAAGTCGAAAGTAACTTGACAACCCCATGACATAAAAAGAAAAAGACAAAAAAAAAACAATCAACAGTATACAAAACACAACATAGAACACAAAAGATTGAGCAACATGAACCCCATCAAAAATTGGGGGTGATATCAAGTGCTTCGGAATGGTAAACAGATCCTGCTATACATATGGCACCCGTTGTGTTGCTCAAGTAACTACAACCCGGTGATAAGTTTAATTTGATAGGTCACATTTGGGGTAAATGAGGACGGATTGTGGTTACGACGATTGTAACTGTGAACATAATAGGTTTATGTTTTTAAATATACCATGAATTTTAATTGGATTTCATGCAAACTGATATGTTATGATTAAATAGTATCAAATAAATCAAAATAAGATACAATCTTTTGAAGCATAAACACAATAATGTATTCATTTTTTTGGAACGGAAAAATATTTGGAACTAAAGTTTGAAGGTATTTGCATTTAAGGTCATATTTGTTTGGAAAATGGCCTAGTCAGTTTATGACTCGCTTGTGTTATTTAACTAGCAATGTTATAAAAATATACCAAAGCTTTTAAATTTGCACGTTCATATATTATTCTGTTCTGTTAATTGGTAATTTGTTTTGCTGAAAAATACCCATAAACGTCATCAACTGTTATGTGTTGTAGACATATACATATAATTAAAACTAATGTGGGCTGTACCTTATAAAAAATTTAATAATTACGACCAACATATTATTCTTACTTTTGACAAATTTCTTACTCCTTCGAAACAGATTTATTCGATATATAAATTGCACGCAATTGTGTAGGTTTTTTTTTCATTGACAATATTTATACTCCCATATACATAAAAATAAGAAGATGTGGTATGATTGCCAATGAGACAACTCTCCACAAGAGACAAAATGACACAGACATTAACAATTATGGGTAACCGTTTGGCCTTCATCAATGAGTCAAACCCATACCGCATAGCCAGTTACAATGTATAAAAGGCCCCGAAATGATATAACCACTTTTCATTAGCTAAATATGGTTTAGAATATTGAAAATTTTTCAATTTGGTCTTCATATTACACATTTTGAGCTTGTAATGTGTACTTATTAATCTAATGGCTCAGCTAAATGATTAATTTATTTGAAAAAAAAATAAATCGAATATGGTTTCATTTTAAATGACAATAATCTCAATAAAATCGTAAATTAGGATAACCAACACCAGTTATTTTTTTGCGCTTAAGTAAGACGTGAACATGTTTTTATATTCTGCAGATATTCATTCTACTATTACATGTACTTTTTGGATCTGTTAACTAATAGGCTACGATTATTACATTGTACATGCATTCTTTAAAAACAAAACTAGAATGCATGCATCAAATATATACATGACTTTTTGTGAAGAAGAATGCATAGTTTTACTTTATGAACGTCTATTATTTTTTTTTTTATATAAAACAGAGAGGTTCAACAACAAGTAGAAGATATGAACGGTAATAAAATATCAATAATATGAGGCGAAAGATATGAATATGATAATCAAACTCGTAAGTCGAAATCAAAACTGATAATGCCATGGCAAAAAAACAAAAAACGACAAATGTACAAACAACAACATACAAATTACAAAATAGAAAACTAAAAGCTGAGAAAAACGAAAACCACCAAACAAAACTTGGCATAATCTCATGTGCTCCGAAGAGGTAAGCTAATTCTGCTCGACATGTGACACCCGTCTTGATGTTGATTTAAGTACAAATCCAGCGATAAGTCTAATTCGGTATATTGCATTCGAGGATTCGAAGACATTTTTAGATTATAATTAATCAAGATGTTTAAATTAAAATTTTACATCGTCCCTAGTCGTTCAAAACGGTTCTTACAGTAGTCAAACTGTTTTTTGTTTTGTTTTAAATATGAAGTTCCTATTTTGTAATAATATTTTTCTATAAGTTGTCAGACAAAAAGCAAAAAAGAAACAAACGAAGAAACAATAATTTCTTTTTTAAATGTCTTCCTTCTTACGATATATTTTTCATTAATGTTGCCTATAATAACTCTGTCTGTATTTTCCACCTTTCCGTCAAACTTCAATGTCGTACGATATTAGAGATTGACCCAGGGACTTCCATAATTTTAATGCACAGTGTCCGAGAACATCTTCATGAAATGTCACTTTTGTAGTCAATATCGTTGTAAACATGTTGAAATGATAAAATTGTTTGTAAAACAAAATATGCGGATAATTTTGTTTTGTTTCTTTCTTCATAATGATTAAGTGTGCCTTTCTTGGTAATTTGACTATGTGATGTCGAATTCGGCAATGATATGTAATGAAAAGAACAAACTTTCCGACAATATACGATTGTACCATGAGTGGCATGCGAGCAAACTGCACTCCTAATTTTCCTTCTAGGGACTAACTGCTAAGCAAATCATTCGTGTTATCCCGTAAAAAAACAGACTCTGCTGAAGAAAAATGCTTTGATCATAATACGAATCCACAAAGATATCACATTTGGCAGTGGAAACTTATTACTATTTCTCTTAATGTGTTTTATCATTGTAATTATTTTGGTTCAGATCTCAAACAAGATAAATAAAGTGAAAGACATTTGTTTATACAATATTATGTCTGTTTTTCTAAATCAATAATATCGTCCATTTGTGTATTACATATGCTTTTCTACTTAACTTTGGTTCCAACCGAAAGTAAGTTTTTTAGGATATCAGTTAAAACGTTATTTCTGTATTATTGTAAATTCAGTTATTGTGACTTTGATTGTATTGATTCTTGTAAATATGAATTCCAAAGACAGCTTAAATGTACTGCTGTTATTATTCCGTTACATATAACTAAGCAGACACTAAAAGACCAATGCTATTCATAGGTACTGCTGCTACAAATCAACTATATCACTCTATGAGTGATTTACTTGCACAGCCAGGAGCAAGTGGTCGTGACACAGATGTTCATTCATCCTTTGAAAGATATGGAATTCCATCTTCAAACCACAAAGTGTCTTATAATCTAAGAGTCAATACTACAACGGCGGAAAAAAGTAAGAATATATACGTTTTCAATATTTTATGGAATGTCGACGACGACGATGATAACGATGATGATGACGACGACGATGATGATGACGACAATTGTTGTCGATGATGATGATGATGACGATGACGACGACGATGACGATGATAATGATGATGATGACGACGATGATGACGACAATGATGACGACGACGTTGATGACGACGATAATGACGATGATGATGTTGTTGTTGATGATGATGATGATGATGATGATGATGAGGATGAGGACGAGGACGACGAGGACGAGGACGACGATGATGAGGACGACGATGATGATGACGACGACGACGATGACGACGACGACGACGATGACGACGAGATGATGATGATGATGCTGATGGATTTGTATTTAAAGCACAGTTGAAAAAAAACATGCATATTTTTAATTTGATATAAATATTAACCCGCATTTGTGCTCTAACGACACACTGCTGAGCCTGGTTTGAAAGTACTAGTTCATAATGTAGCAGTCCCCTAGAAGATGTGTCACCGTACCCTGAAAAAGTATTCCCACGGCGAGCCGACTAGTATTAGTTGTTACTCCTAAATCAATTTTTCACACATTTTGGAGCATCTTTTTCAAAGTAAAATCAAGGTTGCGAATATCAAACAGAAATTTTAAACTCCAAGGATAAAAAAATGTGGTTACACAATGTCCTTTAGGATAAGACACATTATTTCCCTTTTTATCGACACTGAGCAAGACATTGGGCCTGTCCACAATTTACACACACCATTCTATAAGAGCAGCAGGCAACACTATTCTCGGAAGAACTTGTACTTTGGCACATATAATGTCCGTGACAAGCTTTTGTCGGCGTGTACTAACATGTTTTTGACAGAGAAAGCAAGTACTTAATGAAAATATCATTTACTCTTTTCGTAGGAAACAACCGTCTACTACTCTTTAAATTATGCCACCTACAAAAATTTCAGCACTCAAGCTAGTGTCATCGACTTTAAACGAACTTGCTTCAACTTCAACAATTTTCCAGATTTCTGACATATGGCATAATGCAATAAGTTTTCGTCGACTACAATTTTTATATATATATTTCGTTTCAAAACACATTTTATTCTTAAAAATATTTATGATTGGAATTTGTCAAATGATAAATTAAAAGATGTATGTGAAGCTAGCCGTTAGCTTTTAAGCACAAATTTGTACAAAGGATCTTTTATTTTGTAATTTAATGAACAAGACAAATTGTTTTTTAATGTGTTCTTCATTAACGTATTTCAATTTTCCAGACCACAGAAACAGTAATGGTAGTTTTAATCGAGATAAAAGTCCAGGTTTAGCTGCAGATCTAAAGGTATACCACGAAAAATGCATCAGTGCGTAAAAACCGATTGCGATTATTATTAGAATTACATATATAGAGAATGCATATTATTTCATAGATTGCTTCACGCTTTGTTTTTGTATGTTTTGTATATAGATTGGTGGGGTATGTTACCTCCGGGTGTGTTGGGTTGGGGTATTGGAGTTGGAGCGTTTTACTTACTCGAGCCACCTCCAAAGCAAAGAGGTTAATCGTACAGTGGGAAATTGAAAATACCATAGAAAATATCTACGTCGTACAGATATGTCTCTTGTGATGATAATGACAATTCTACTTTCGCTCTTTTAACTGTATAATTTGAAAAAGAGTTTTTATAATGCTATGCCCTACACTAGAATCAGATAAATGAGCATATCATGACCAATCGTTTTTGAGTCAGGGCTAGGGGAGGGGGTTGAAAATAAAGAATCTCTAACAAGTATAAAATTAGGAATCCCTTATATGATGCATGTTCAATACATGTTCAAAACACACATAACCAAGGTCAGTCCCTTTCGTATAATAGTGCGGAACATATTTCAACCATCTTTGACTATCACCCTTTATATACCGATGCTATCGTTTTTGTTTACAATATACATGACTAGCATCACAATATGACTTCGTGTCATTCGTTTTATTGTATGGGTGTATAAGATAAGCATAGCAAAACGAACTGAGATCTCCCCAATTGTATATCAATGTAGAAGACAGTGATCGGATGCCAACCCCCCGGTTATTAACAGTTATTGAAGACACGGGATGCATATATAAGTTGTCGTATTTTTTTTTCAATTGCAGATTTCGAAACGTTTAAAATATGTAGAAGTGCTGTTTGATCCGTTTCCAATAGGTCACAAGTTTGTGATCAGAGGTTCAGAAAATAGGACACCTTATGCACATATAGATTTTGATGCCCATGCTGAACCTTTGTCAAGTAGCTCTGAAAACAGTTCTACTTGTGGTTTAGAGATATCTGACGATGAGAACAAAAATGATGATGTGGAATGAAATACGATTTGTTTTAAAGGAAATGTGTTCGATAAGGACAAAACAGATATTATAGTTTACATCAGAGTAATAAAAAAAAATACCGAATAAATGTTTCACAATAAAAAAAAAACAAAAAAAAACCAGCTGCCAGAGAAAGCAATATGCAAAATGAGGAAATATGCAATTTGAAAAATGAGATTATATTAAATTGGAAAACTCAGTGAAAATGTTTATGTGTTTTTTTTATGATATTACATTTTTATGGTTATTTTATTAAATGATTGTCTCCTTTTTGATTAATTTGTAAAGGATTTTTTTACGTATGTATTTCAATATAGATAATTGAATATTTTGCAATAACTGTGTGGAAAGTATTTGAAAACAATATTTGAATTGTATCAGGCTACAGTACTTTTTCTGCTCAAGAGGGAAACAATTTTGAAATAGAAACAATTTCCGCAGGAAAAGGCGTATTTTGTCTGGAAACGGTTATTATATACCATTGTTCTTTTAAATATAATGATAGTATGTTGATATCATGTTCTTCCCTATGACACATTTTCATTGTCCATATCACACCTACTTACATCACAGATATACTTGAATGTGGAAAATGTGAGGATTAAACGTTTATTGACTCATAAAAACAAAACTTTCAATGTTTTCTAATAGTAGATTGGAAAACGGTTTCAATACAACCATTTAGGTTAAAGCAATAATTTTGAAAAGTTTGATCGATGTTTGTTAAGACGTTATTGCAAGAAATGATTTTCAAAACTGTACACTATTTGAACGGCCTTATCTATGTAATATGTGTTATGATGTGGAGTAATCATTGTTATTAAATTCTGTACAATCCTTAACTTGCTAAACATCCCCTTGCAGATACATGAATTATGAATAATAATATTGTTTTTTATGACAATAAAATTAATACTGGAAACGGGAGAGGGGACCAAAAAGCAAATGCGTTCAGAAGATTTGAACAATTGGGATTTTAGAATTTTTAATTAAATTTTCTCTTTCCCCTCTTTCTTTTTTTTTTTGTAAATGCTGAAAGATTATATACGTTGAACCACATACTGTGATTTTATTGTCGAGAGACCAATTTGCTACATATGAAAAATGTTCATTGTTTCTGGATTCATTCTTTTTGAAATGATGGATAAGGTAACTATACGCCTTTTACAACTGATAACGTGTTGTTTTCAGTTTTCACAGTTCTGGGTCTATACTGCTACTTGTGGACTATCAGTCCCCGAGTATATCTTGAGCTCAGTAGTCAGTACTTATGTACTGACATGATTTAGAACAAACCTTCCTTTACATTTAGAAGTTATAAAGAATCTAAGGTTTAAGTAACCTTCGGCAAAGTTGACCTTAGATGGGTTTAGCTTTTATTTTGAGATCCTTTTGGTCATATCCCAGCAGGCACCCGATGTTGTACAGACGTGGATATTTGGTTGAAAATAGGTCGCAACGTCGGCGACCTAAATTCAACGTCGGTTCAACGTCGACTGGCAAACGTCTGTCGGACGTTATAGAATGACGTCTATATAACCTTGTTTTTTGGTCACGACCTTATACAACGTCGACACAACGTCGGATTCCAAATGTCGGTCGGACGTCTAAATCAATCTAAAATATCGAATTCACGCGTATACCTGGACATATATACCCAGCAAGCACGCAACCTTTTATTTATATTGGTTTACTTGTGTTTTTGAATAAATTCAACGATTACTTTTGCTAATATATCAGATTGATATGATTAAAGTGAATGAATGAACTGTTTTAAAATTTTCGCCCTAAAATATTTCAATTACACGAAACAGATTTTATTTCAATTGGCGCATGCGTATGAGGCCGACATTTCGAATTTATGTGCGCCAATTTGATTACAACAACAATTTCTACGACGGATGCTTCATTCTTAAGGTTTCTGGAAATCTAAATATTCAACGATATTCTTTTCTTAAACTTCTGTAAAAGACTTCTATGCCAATGTTCTTTCAAACTTCAATATAAAAACTGCGGGGGCATGGACCTTGTTTTTTTGTTTAAGTATACTGAAATTAACAAAATATTAGTTTTATAGGGGAAACTGAATTTTTCCTTAATGAGGAAACACTAAGCGGTAGAATTTGAAAAAATTCAACGAGAAAATTGATTTGCATTAATACATCTTAACTATCAGATAAAAATAGAGGGTTTTTGATAGTTTAATCTTTAATTTAAAGATATTTTTGTTGTATATTTAATGATAGTTGGTTAAATTAAATTAAAACAAAGAAATATTTCTATAAAATGCCAAGAAGGGATGCTTAGAAAACGACACACGATCTCCCTGGATATTTTTTTCAAGTGCTTTTAAACTTACTTATAGCCTTATGACTTCTTTTTCTGTCCAATCTTTTGGCATATCTTTGATGGTACTGCGTTATATCTTCTGGGGTTGAAACTTGGCACCAAATGAACTTTCCCATTGAAATATTGTCAAAATTCTCTTCCATGTAAGATTTTACATATCTTATACCTGTAATATATTAATAACAATTAAAATTAATTTCAAATCTAAAATGATCATGTTTTATGTGAAAAGAATGCAGATTGAAATTAACTGCTTAATAAAATGCTCCGCTGGGCGCAGCTTGATACGACCGCAGAGGTCGAACCATGTACAGTTGGGGCAAGTATGGACACAACATTCAAGCTTGATACAGCACTGAATTTGGATTGTAATTAAATATTTGACACAGTATAGGTTTCTGACACAGAATGAATGTGGTCTAAGAACTTAAAATTTTTTAATTTACCTATTCAAACCATATCATTATTATTTGCTTTTATATATAAATCAGAAATAACCAATTTAAAATGGAAAATTTTAAAGAAAAAAAAGGGGAAAAAAAATCCCCCCCCCCCAAAAAAAAATTTTTGAACCCCCTTATGATTCATCATCCCCAAACTCAATCCCAGCCTTCCCTTTGTGGTATGGTACCTTGCAGTACAATTTCAGAGAGATCCATACACTTGAACACAAGTTATTGTCTGGAAACTAGAAAAATACTTGTTTTTGGTCCCTTTTTGGCCCCAAATTCCTAAACGTTTAAGGCAATTACCCCCAAACTCAAACCCAGCTTTCCCTTTGTGATATGGAACCTTGTAGTACAATTTCATAAAGATCCATACACTTACACACAAGTTATTGTCCTGAAACTAGAAAAATGCTTGTTTTTTTTTTACCCTTTTTGGCCCCTAATTCCTAAAATTTGGAAGCAATTACCCCCAAAATCAATCCCAGCCTTCCCTTTGTAGTATGGTACCTTGCAGTACAATTTCAGAGAGATCCATACATTTGAACACATGTAATTGTCTGGAAACTAGAAAAATGCTTATTTTTGGTCCCTCTTTGGCCCCCTATTCCTAAACGTTTTGGGCAATTACCCCCAAACTCAGTTCCAGCTTTCCCTTTGTGATATGGAACCTTGTAGTACAATTTCATAAAGATCCATACACTTACACACAAGTTATTGTCATGAAACTAGAAAAATGCTTGTTTTTTTGCCCCTTTTTTGGCCCCTAATTCCTAAAATTTGGAGGCAATTACCCCCAAAATCAATCCCAGCCTTCCCTTTGTGATATGGGACCTTGTGGTACAATGTCAGAGAGATCTATACACTAACACACAAGTTATGTCTGGAAGTTACAAAAATGCTTATTTTTGGCCCTTTTTTGGACCCTAATTCCTTAACTGTTGGTACCATAACCCCCAAACTCAATCCCAACCTTCCTTTTGTGAAATGAACCTTATGGTAAAATTTCATAGAGATCCATTCACTCAAACTAAAGTTAGAGTGCGAAAACTAATGTGTTTTCGGACGACGACGACGACGACGACGCCGGACGACGCCAACGTCATACCAATATACGACCACAAAAATTTTTTTGCGGTCGTATAAAAACACTTATGTTAATGCTTTATACCGATCCTTTTACACAATTTTAATCGATAACTATTACAGATGATTGCATGATTTTTTACTCTGTATATTACTTATGTGATAACTTTGAAATCAAATGTTACGACACAAAAACTGCTTAGACATGTATTGCATTCTAATTACTACTTGACATACAACATTAAGGGACTCCTCTGTTATTGGGAAAAATATTGCTTAAAATAATTGGATATACTGTATATATGATTACTGCCTTTTGCCTAAAATGTTTCTTTTAGTAAGAATGTACCTTACAATTAAGAAACATGCAAACAGAACTTGAATTATAATAGACCACTACAGTTTGAGTAACCAACAACTATTGATTAGTTATAGAACAGTGAAGCTTATTCTTAACAAAACTTACCTTCAGCTAAAAAATAACCTTCCAAAACACCACTTTCAAAAAATCTACAGTAGCAGTTGTTCTCAATTTTGAACAATGAACAGTAAAAGGTCCCGTCAGATAAGGCTGGCAAAGCTATATCAAGAAGTGACTTCTCTAACTGCAATAAAAATGGTGTTTCTGGGGAAGTAAAGCCAGCTTCCTTCAGGGCAGATGAACAATGTTCCTCTTGGTGAATGACATCTGTACACTGACTTAAATTTTTGAATAAATTGGATTTCCATTCTGAAAAAAATTAAGAGTGTTGTATATGGCATATTACATGTATAGCTGGTAAAATAAAAGACAGGTTATTCCAATAACCTATCTTAAATTATATAACATGTGTGCATGGACTGCAAGAAACAATTGGAATGATGGCAAATAATTAATTAACATTTGGAATTACTACTATGGTGCAAAAAAGATGCAGTGATTTTATTATCAATAGAGTTATTTATTTACATAATATTACTTAAAGTGCACAAGGATGAAGTATTTACTTCTTTGTTCATTCATTCACAGTATGGTACATGTATATGTACCAAAGCATAATTAGTCTTACCCCTATCATCAAACTGTTGTACAGTTGCTGCAGCTGGACACTGAAGTTCTGGTCTGGATGATGTTGCTCCAAAAACAGTCTAAAATATATAAAAAAAACAATTCTATACAATTCCCTTTTAAAATATAGTTGTTCCATTAAAACAATTAACACACGATGTTTTTCATTTTATAATATGCATATAAATATATTCAATATGAATAATATATAAAACGTCTAAATATTAGTCAACATTCTTTCTTACCAGGGCGCTGAATCGTTCCGAGTAAAGATACATGTACACAATTACTTAATTATATAAACGCCTAAAAAGTGTACAAAATATTTCATCAAAACACTGGACAGATATGACGCAAAATCTGTTAAAACCAAGTTCATTTATTGACAAATTACAAATGGTGCAGGTCCTCGTGTTCCTGTTTTCACTGGACATCACAAAGGTTCACACACTTAAATTTTGACGTAATAGAAAATATCTGACGCCACAATGTTAAAGTGATTGTTGTATGGCTTCAATAGTGGCGAATATTCTCGGGTCAACCGACACAGATTTTCAAATAGTGATAAGGTGTATAAAATCTAGATGAAGCCAAGCCGCAAAAAGTTTAGAATAGGACAACTGTCCAATTCTAACATGTCTAACGTCACAGTACCCAAATTGCACCTATTCAACAAAAATAGCTGTGGAAATCTAACAAGATTTCTTTGAAACAAAACAATTTGTATTTTTATGATTTGACATTATACATGTACACGTCCAAGACTACACGAATGAATTTTATTTTTACAGGACATTCGGTCTGGTAAACAACCTAGCTTTACTAGACCGAATGAAATTTTACCAGACCAATTTTTTTTTACATCTAATTGTATATTATCCGACGAAATACAACAAACTTTTGACTTGTTGTTCCCTACTCCTCTCCAAAATGCACAAAAACAAAATCATGTGACAAGAGTGTATATTTTGATGAAAGTTGTGCACAATTGCTTGAAAGCAATTCAGTGATAAAGAAAGGTAATGTGACATTTTATTGGATTTTGACCTGAAAATTATTTGTGAACTAAAAATAATTTAGAGTTTCTGTAAAAAATATTTCCTGTATCTTCTTTCTTTTTCATATATCTTTTGGTTTTCAATTCTTGTGTTTATATTTCATAGCTGTATTTTGTGAACCTACCTGGATTTTTTTTATTTATTTATTTATTGTATTTGGTTGGCAAACCGGAATTGGCCTTATCCGGTATTGTCTATATTTCCTGTTGATGGCAGCCATTGTTGTTTTTACAGTCAGATATGTTTTTACTCGGATTTACACATTACTTGTTGGAGATTTTCGGCATAAAGCTAACGGTTGAACAAAATAAACATCGCTGTCATGAATAATAAAGATGAAAATGAATTTTGAGATCATTTGGGAATTTTGCTCCCAAAATTGGGAAAAATGTAGGGTTTTTAGAAAAATCCATGAAAAATACAACACCGGACATTCGGACGGGAATTCATCAAAATTTTACCAGACCGATCCATTATTCACCGGATTTGTCCGACAAATTTCATGTAGTCTGACTTCTTTCTACCTAGGTAAATATATTAAATATACACAAAACGTTCACAGTATGTATCAACAGATGAAGCATTCACTGAAAAAGTAAAATCTACAGAAACGTCGCTATGCTATGTTCACAAAAAGTCATCTTTTAAAAATGAAGATGAAAAAACTGACAAATAAGGTGCAATTGTACCCTCACGTAATATTCTGGCCATTTGTATAAGGGAGCAACCATTTAACTTCAAGGGGGGGGGGGGGGGGGGTTATGTTTTTTTTCTTAGTCAGCAATTTTTTATCACGCAAAACACAAACAAATTTATTAAGTTGTTCGACGCGATCAATTGGATTTTTTTTTTTCATTTGCTTGACTAGAATATTTTTTCATCAAGTTGGGGATCAGAATATTTTAGAAGAAAAAAAACATAACATAACCCTCCACCACTTGAAGCAGACTTCTTGAAAGGTGGTGGTCCTCAGGATTTGACCACTAAAATTTGCAAAGGACCGGCACAATTTCAGTATTTTGCAATAGAAATGATAGTGAAAACCAACATTTTTCCCTCAATGACCACCAGGGGAAAAAAGATTTCAAGAACTCTGTTGAAGTTAAATGGTCGTTCCCTAACAGAGTACAGGCAGATTTGGTAAGAAAGAAAAATCTAACCTGCTATTTATATAATGAAAATGGAAAATTTTAATGGCAATTTGATTCTAAAAGCCCAACCCCCCCCCCCCCTTTTTTCCACCAATGACCTTGTGTATATAAGTCACCGACACCGCAATAACTAATTGATGGATGAAAATATTGAGCTTTCAAAGCTCTACTAATCAACCTATGACATTTAAACTACAAATATTGGCTGCTGTTTAGTTCTGCAGAATATTGACACAATCCTATATAATTTTCACAGCCCGGCGATCAAACTGAAAATGAGATGCACGTGCTATAGATATTTAAAAACAGAATGGAATCTTCAATTTGAACCACTTACTCTTGAATCGGAAGTCATGTCTTTTGTGTTTCGACTGAAAACAATGAAAATTGAGGCGAACAAAAATTGTGGTTTGGATCTAAATAAATTCAGCAAGATGGCGAATGTTGTGGGTCAGCATCTAGCATCCTATAGTCACATGAAACCATTGACCAATCGCACCGCAGGCACCCGAATTTTTTTGTAATATATTATCTGATTGGTGCGCACGTTTTGGTAGAGGAATGCACTGATTTGTCAATAATGGCTGCGTTTACACAATATTTATTATTAGTACTCTGCGTACAGACAAACATGTACAACTGGAAACGTTTTAAAGCATGACAGCACAACTAGATATATAAACGTAAAATGCATTTTGTGTTTCAGAAAGAAAATGCATACATTATATGACATAAAACAAGATGAATGATAAAAATCATAATAATTTTCAATTTACCCCGGACATTTGGGGAAAGCCCTTATGCTTGAACGTTAGCTTCAAAAGGATTTGTGAAAATCATCAGCAGTTATAATAAAAATAAAACAAGATTGCTATGCTGTAGCCTCATGTCGGAAGCACTGTATAAATGAGGAATTAAATTGTGTGACACATTGTGGTACGGTAGTAAAATATGTTAAAAGTCGCATAACTTCCATACAAATGACATAATATTAAGTTCAGCTTGGGAGATTTTTTTGTCAGATGGTTCCACATGATTCACATGATCCGCGTTCACAATGTGACATTATCATAATACTTTAAAAAAAAATAGTCAGTGTCCCATAACTCCCTTAAAAATGGTTGGATCAAAATGATGGTTTAATATGGTCAACTACACAGTAACGCTCGAATCAAAAACGTTAAAAAGGCCAAATACGAAATTCAAATGTAACTGACGATATAGCACGTTTTGAAAATATGACAACTAATAATCCTGCCAATTATGAAATCTTCATGTCAACGGTGTCTGAGCATTGATGTGTTGTGGACGGACGGACGGATGGACAGATTGAGATCATTACCACAGTCCCGGCGGTGCGACCTGCGGGGGACAAAAAATACTATGATATGGAACGCCACAGAGCTGTCTAATGTGGTACTCTGATATTACGTTATGTTGTTTCATTATTACTTGATGATATTTTGTCTTTACCCTGTACATAATATGGTTTTGACATTACGTAATGATATTTTGATATAACTCAATAGGGAATAGTCATTACTTAATGATATTTCGATTTTACGTGATATGGTTTCGTATTGACTTGATATGTTTTTTTCATTACTTAATATGGTTTGTCATAACTCGATGTGATTTCATCATTATTTAATGTGGTTGTGTCCTTATGCAATGTGATTTTAACATTACTTGATGTGTGTGTGGCTTAATATGATATTATTAATTAACTACACTGTTATTGGACTTAATATGATGAAAACTGCCTATGCAATATAAAGGTGTCAACTCGGCCAATACAGAATATCTCGGCCAATATAGATTTTTTTTCTGTATTGGCCGAGTTCTGATCCGGCCAATACATGATTTCGGAACGTCTCTAGTTTTTAGATCGAAAGTCACGATAAACACAAACTGAAAGTAAACAGTTGTTTGGAAGACGCAGTTTTCATTTACTCACCATAAACATGCTGAAACGTTCAGTATGGCATATATTTCAGGCTTAAGATGGTCACATTCATTTAAAAAGCATTTTGAAAGCAGACGATGGAATTATTTTAGGTTTGGGAAACGAGTAGATTATCACAAAGTTCATTTCTTGTCGACCTCATAATTTCACGATGGTACAAATCGATTTACTGTTTACTTTCGCTTCTCATGTTTTGTAAACTGTTATTTATTTTTAAACCCGAACCAGGCATATGCATTCTGGAAGGGTGACCTGTAATTGTGCAAATCTTCATTCTTTGGTCAGTTGGCTTATGGATAGTTGTATCATTTTCAACTCCTACATTATTTTTTCAGTTTGTTTCTGCATAACACATGCAATGGCAGTACCTTTCCAATTACTATTTATGTGTTGTGTCTAAATTTAAATTGTAACACTTTATAGTGACTGGAAAGGGTAGAAAAATTCATCAGATGAGAAAATGCTGAAGACACCTGGAAACGACACCAGATCATTAGATAGAGCATCTTATAAAAAGAAACTGAGATTTGGATAGTTCCACTCCAAGGTAAAAATGTTTATCTCTTGTGAAATGAAATAAAAAAAATATTGTAACACTGTAGTTAATTAATAAAGATACTATTACGTGTATTTCTGTATTGGCCTTGTTATTGGTCCTCGGCCAGCTGTATTGGCCTTCGGCTTCGCCTCAGGCCAATACAGCAAGCCTCGGACCAATAACAAGGCCAATACAGAAATACTCACGTAATAATATCATATTATTACGTGAGTATTTCTGTATTGGCCTTGTTATTGGTCCGAGGCTTGCTGTATTGGCCTGAGGCGAAGCCGAAGGCCAATACAGCTGGCCGAGGACCAATAACAAGGCCAATACAGAAATACACGTAATAGTATCTTTATTAATTAACTACAGTGCTACAATATTTTTTTTATTTCATTTCACAAAAGATAAACATTTTTACCTTGAAGTGGAACTATCCAAATCTCAGTTTCTTTTTATAAGATACAATATCTAATGATCTGGTGCTGTTTCCAGGTGTCTTCAGCATTTTGTCATCTGCTGAATTTTTCTACCCTTTCCAGTCACTATAAAGTGTTACAATTTAAATTTAGACGCAACCCATAAATAGTAATTGGAAAGGTACTGCCATTGCATGTGTTATGCAGAAACAAATTGAATATATTTAAAAAAATAATAATGTAGGAGTTGAAAATTATACAACTATCCATAAGCCAGCCGACCAAAGAACGCAGATTTATACAATTACAGGTCACCCTTCCAAAATGCATATGCCTGGTTCGGGTTTAAAAATAAATGACAGTTTACAAAACATGAGAAGCGAAAGTAAACAGTAAATCGATTTGTACCATCGTGAAATTTTGAGATCGACAAGAAATGGACTTTGTGATAATCTACTCGTTCCCCAAACCTGAAATAATTCCATCGTCTGCTTTCAAAATGTTTTTTAAATGAATGTGACCGTCTTTAGCCTGAAATATATGCCATACTGAATGTTTCAGCATGTTTATGGTGAGTAAAGAAAACTGCGTCTTCCAAACAACTGTTTACTTTCAGTTTGTGTTTATCGTGACTTTCGATCTAAAAACTAGAGACGTTCCGAAATCCTGTATTGGCCGGATCAGAACTCGGCCAATACAGAAAAAAAAATCTATATTGGCCGAGTTGACACCTTTATATTGCATAGGCAGTTTTCATCATATTAAGTCGAATAACAGTGTAGTTAATTAATAACGTTATGTATTTGTTTCATTACATGATATGATTTTGTTATTTTTTAATGATGATTTGCCAATTCTTCATATGGCTTTAATATTTCATAATGATGGTTCAAAATAGGACGATTTTACACAACATGATGTGTTTGTTCCTATATTTGATGTGGTCCTGTCATTCTTTGGTGTGGTTATCACATTACTTTATGAGGTAAAGCCACGTGACCATTTTGGAGAAAAAAAAGTTCTATTTTTAGACCGATTTCCATATGTCGTTTGTTAATGTGCTTCGAATGCAGGGGATGAGTGTCATTATCCATTGAGTTAAAGTTCAAATTAAAGTTCGAGTTGTTGTTCAGAGTTATTTGGTATGAAAAAGGGGAACGGCAGACAAAAATAAGAAAAAAAGTACCAAAAAAATATCAATATTTCGGACATAAAGTGTATATCCCCAAACTACTTGGTCCTGTCGTTACATAATCTGGGAGGGTCGAAATCTCACAAAAATGTTTAACCCCGCCGCATTTTAGCGCCTGTCCCAAGTCAGGAACCTCTGGCCTTTGTTAGTCTTGTATGTTTTTTTAATTTTGGTTCATTTATATGTTTCGGAGTATAGTGTGACGTTTATTTTCGATGAACTAGTACACATTTTTGTTTAGGAGCCAGCTGAAGCCCGCCTCCGGGTGCGGGATTTTCTCGCTGTGTTAAAGACCCATTGGTGGCCTTGGACTGTTTTCTGCTCTTTGGTCGGGTTGTTGTCTCTTTGACACATTCTCCGTTTCCATTCTCAATTTTATGAAGTCATTGACAACAATATATGTCTACAGTGTTATCATTCTTTCATACATGTCAATGTTGTGGTCACCATTATTCAACAACATCCACCTTTTGTGTAGTTTTTGTTTTTTTAAAAAACTACAATTAAGCAGATGTTTGAACTGCCAGAAATTTGTGCAGGACTTTGATAATGGACTTAAACATCGGCGTCAATTTCAAAATCTTGTTATACAAACAGATGGTGATTTGTACTTATAATTATATATCTTTGACGTAGCATATGTTCAGACCTTACAACAAGTTATGTATTTGTAATGTACTTCTGTAAGGACCGATTAATATAATATGCCTTTTGCATGTAAAAGTACGTTTCAAATACAAACAACCAAACTAATGTCATCAACAACCATAGGCACAAGCAACGGAATTGAGTCTATAAAATATCTGAGAGGTAGGCTTAACCACGGCATAGAAGTGATCCACTTTTTATTTCATAAATGAGTCACAAAAAGTTCTAATAAATGCTCCATAAAAACCAGGACAAAGGAAACATTACCCTCGGTTTTTGATGGGGTTCCTGTTGCTCAATTTTTAGTTTTCTATGTTGTGTTTTGTGTACTGCTGTTTGTCTGTTTGTCTAATTTCGATTTAAAAGTTTGAATGTTCCATTGGTTTCTTTCGCCTCTCTTTGAAAAGCAAAAGAAAAAAAAATAATTCCAAATTTAGCTAAAGACTCTATGCCAGGGTGTAAAACACAATGTGTTTTGAATGATTTTCATAATAATTAAACAGTACATTTACAGAAAATAACTGTATCAATTATTACTTTTATCAGCTTAGAACTGCTGATTATCTGACTATGAGAGCCATCGACCAAGTGGATGTAAAACCTAATCCGATACCAGGCTTGTAATTAAGTACGCCAATCGCGCGTCTCGTCTATACTGTTAGTTTTAGTTTTTAACGATTTTATTTGCTCATAGATACAAAAAGGATCGGACACAAGTTTAACCAAC